AAGAATTGGAATTATTTAGTGTCCTGCACCATATAACATATAAATCTAACATTATTAAATGGTGGATTCAAACTATGAATATGAAGCTTTGATAACTGCTCATAATAGATTAGTAAGTTATTTTTTCATATTTTTTATTTATACTAGAAAAGAGATTTAATCGAGCACAATGAAAATTCTGTGCCAGCGAAAGTTAAAATTGAAAGACTGAAAGAATTACGAGGCTTAAACCCCAATAGTTGTGGACCCACAAGTAAGTAATTTGAAATATTATTTTAGGTTTGTCGGAGTTAAAAGATGAAAAGACTAGACTTACTAAATGGGCATCAAAATTCGCAGGCGCTAATAAATTGATGCAGCAAGAAGTTGAAGCTTTGAGAGAAGAGTTGCAACAAATTCAAGAAGTTGATCCGTCAAAAAGTGGAAATTATGTTACTAGAGAGGCTTACAATCTATTAGCGAAAGAACATGAAAAACTTCAAGACGATTATAAAAAATTATCGGAAAAACATGAAGGACTAGTGGATCATATTGGAACTTTAAAAACAGCGAATACAGAAGCCGAATTGGCGCGCGACCACGAAATTCAAAATTCCATCAATGCAGCTGAAAAGATACACAAATATAAGCAGATTTTAAGTGAAGTGGAACGAAATACGAGACAAAAAGAAGGTGCTATTACCGATTTATCTAACAGATTGATTGAATTTCAAAATAGATATGATATACTTGCACATCACACACTGCAACTTGGTGAAGAAAAAATATCTTTAATAGAAGCCCTGAGAGAACGACAAACTCAACTGGATTTTGCAATTGCGCAAATACAGCTGCTTTCTAATGATCAAAAAGCTTTAGAATTATATAAAACACGTTATAAAACGTTGGAAGCTCAGTTAGAAGAAATGAAAAAAAATTATGAAATGGAATTGCAAAATCTAAGAAATCAACTGAACTTGTGTAAAACCACTTATGAACCTTCAAAATTCGTGGTTAAAAAAGACACTACAAAAAATAAACGAGAAGACACTTCAATTGTGCTCACGCCTAGCGCTATTACAGACGTTAAAACTATTACCAAAATTAAGCTTGCTAAAAGTTCTTATTTAATTTATAGAGTTCGATGGCATCCTTCAACAGGATTACACAAATATGAATCAAGGTTACTCATACTAGATGAAAAATCTGGCATATTAGGGTGGCAAAAGCAACTCACAGGAACTGCTTCAACTATTCTTAAATTTACTGACATTGCTGCTATTTCGTATGGTTGTGACAGCAATATGTTAGGATACATGAAGTACATATATAGACAATCTGGTATTGACACACCGTCTTCCATGAGTGCAGATAGTTCTAAATTAGAAAGTACCAACTATATCAAACCCAAAGGACTTTTGACCGAACTTCCTAAACTTTTGCTTACGTGTTGCTTTACAATATACACAAGAGATGGCAAGGTTTACGATTTTTTCACTAGAAGTGAAACCGAATGTTATGATTGGATGATCAGATTCGAAAAATCGCTTAAAAAATCAAATGTTGCAAGGTTGCTTAATCGTAACGAATTTTTAACCATGCGTGCATGGACAAGATTAGTCGAACAATGTTGTAAGAGAGCAATAAGTAGTAAAGCTATATTTATTGACGGACTTAAGAAATTTTTAATGTTTAGCGAATCTAATAATAATATGACGGCTTGGACTGAAGATATGCGAGTTATTCATCAAAACAAAATTCAAGCAAGAGATTGGCACAAATAATTAACTAATATGAATCAGTTTCAGTTTCATTGACTAGATTTGTAATTATAATGTCGTCGTCAATTACTGAAACAAACATAACATAACATTTATTGCAAATCAAGCATGCTTCTTCCGGTAAAAAAAGACTTCCATCTATTTTATAATAAGCTAAGTTTTGCTTACATAGTAAACAAAGCGATCTTGGATTCTTGACTGATATTTTGTACAAATTTTTTTCTAAATCCTTTATGTTTAAATCAGACGTGAAAGTTAATTTTTTCCAGAATAAACGTAATATTATAACTCCAACCGAGATGTATTTTATTTTCAGCAACAATAAATCGATAACAGTCTTGTTGGAAAATAACTCATCAAGACAAGAACCATATTTGTCAAAATAATGAATTTCGTAATTTTGAAATGATGACTCATTTGTAAGAACAGGAAAAAAAATACTGAGTAGCTTGCTTATAGGACAAGTGCTAATAATACTTATATTAGTTAACAACTCAAAAGTATTTCCTGAGAGTTTTTCAATAGAAATTTCGATTTCGTATTTTCTTTCGACTGGTGTTTGTATATTTAGTTCAGACGTAAAGTTAGATGAAATAAAACTTGTCTTTTTATTTTTAATAGCATTGAAATCTAAAATAGAAAAAGCATTTAAATCAAAAAATAAATTAGCCTCTTCTTGCAATCTTCTAAAAAATACTGATTGATCAACGTTAATGCGAAGAAAACAATCAAGAGCTCTTCGTTGCCCGGCTTTCAGCGATAATTTTTCACAAAATGGAATTTTATCAATAAAATGTTTATCTGATTCGTTATAATAATATAAGACAGGCAAGCTATACCGATTGAGATACTTATTTAGTTCTTCAATAAACGGATCTAAATTATGTGAATTGTTTCACTTACATCTGTTTAGGATTCGTTTAATGGATTTAGACACGAAAATTTTTTCTATCTGATATAACCATTTCATTTATAAGATAAGGTACTAATGATAATTTTATTGTAAAATATAACAATTGAAATTATATAAGCTACAAGCTCATTATTAATATTTCGAGTTATATTATTAAATATTCATAGGTTTTATCTTTTTTACATGTAACAAGAAAAAAATTCTTCGTTGTTAAATCTAGGTTTATTTTTTCATACAAAACTTTCTTAAAATACATGAAATTTTAAGTTTGCAATCAAGGAATTTTAATATAATTAAATTACTTTTTATGATGCGAGCTTTTATCATCAAGTATCTGAGTCAATTTGATAGTTTGATTTAGCAGTTTTTCATAGCTGATTTTTAACTCATCGTATTTTTTTGTTAACTCCGTATAATCAGATTTTATTATATATAGCTGATTTTGCAAATCCTTTTCTTTTTTTTTACAAGCAGAATGCAAAAAATCTGTGTTTATTTGATCATATTCAACTTTTAAATTACTGGTTTCTCCGATTTTTTTAATAGTTTGCATCACGGATGTTAAAACTGCTTCATATTTATTTACATTTAAATTAGATGGAAACTTATTACAATGTATGCTACATGAGCTGCATCGATTAATTAGCCTCGTACAAAATTTTTTCTTTAGTTCTACTGGAACGTAAAACTTATCATCAGTCCAGCTTATTTTTGTTTGCAGAGTAAAATCACATGATTCTAAACTTTCTTTTAATTCATCATAAGTTTTATAGTTTATTGCTTGCAGTTTTGTTTCAAGCGGAATAAAATTCCAACAATGCGTTAAAAATAACCAACGTGGATCGTTCAAACTTATAGCAACCCATCTTAAATCCATTGGAGCGCGTAAGAAACAATTATTATATGCAAGCCAACTTAAATCATTAGTAGCAACACAAAATACTCGCAAGCTTAATAATGATTTTTTCCAAAATGATGCTAATTCAAGCCAATTTGGATCGCCTGTTGCATATGCAATATAAGACAAATCAGTAGGAACAAGATTTTTTTTTAATTCACAAAGTAATTCTGTTTGGATTTTGAATGGTACAAATTCAACATTTAATTTTTCATTGTCGTTGAAAATACTGAGTAGATAATCTGAAGAAAGATTAGAAGACTTCATATATTTCTTAATTTTTTCATGCAAATTTTTTAACTTGCTCGATAATAATACAAAATTTGATGTGTTGTTTACATGATATTCCAAAAAAGTAGCCAATCGAATGAATGAAAAATCTTTTTTAACAATCTGCTGAGTGATCTCATCAATCAGAAACGAGATCATCTCTATAATAGCTTCAGAATCAATCGTTTTTTTTTCATCATTTGATAATTTTTTAGTTTTTGACTCTAGTAACCCTAATATACTTTCTAAAGCGTAGATCTTTTCTTGTAATACATCATTTTTTTTATTTGCTTTTAGATCTGTTGAAATCTACCGATAATAACAAATATTATTTCAGATTTATACTTACCTGAACATTTTTCATTCAGTTAATTTATGATAAACGAGTTAATTTACTGCACCAAAGAAACGCATTCTCTATTTGACTGAGAGACAAAACAACATTTGAACTAATAAATTTTATTAAATTTTGCTTTTATGCCATTAATGTGATTTATAGCTAGAGTGTGTTGTATTAGTCGGCAGATTTGTTGATAAATACAAGAGGGAAGGTCTGAGATGCCGAAAAAACAGAAATTAAAATTAGGTGACTAATTTTGCCATAAAGTAGAAAAGTCGTCTGCATCATATAGGTGTAGTTCCTGAAATATATGGAGGGCACGATGAATGAGTCAGATTCTAGCAGCAATTGTTTATTGTTACTCAATTCAGACTACTTAAATACACATTAATTCCGAAATCTTACTACTAAATATTCTGCTAACAAAAATGATAAAAAACTTATATCCATGCGCAGTTCTAAGGGCGAATATGTTTTTTTTACTGTGGGCAAGGTCCTCGTATATGTTTTTGAAAGAAAAAAGCTTAAATGCTATAGGCTGACTTTTTGCAGCTTATTATATGTATGCTTTGCATCGATACTGAGTAAATTGGATAGACGCTTGCAGCGTAACTCAATGAGGCCTGTTTGTTTTTTATCGTTTATGTAATTATGTTCATCTAAATCTTATATAATATTTTTTCCTAATTCTACATATTTCTTTATAATGGATGATAATTGTAGCTAAGATATATTTTATTATGCTATCAAATTAAGCAACTTAATATACTAGATACAACCTCTACAAATGTTTATAAGAAAAAATTATAAAATAACTAACTAGACTGCTAAATCCGAAATACCTGAATTTTTATCTTTATTTTGTGCACTTAAGCCAGATAATATATCGTCAACACGAATGATCATTGCGCAACACTCAACAGCCGATTTAATAATTTGAATTTTTGATGTTACTGTGTCATAAATCTGTTTTTCGTATGTATTCACAATATCACCAGTAAATCCACAAACGCCAAAATTTTTATTATTAGAGCCTTCTTGATGTAAAGTTATTAATTTAGATAATCCTGTATAAACAGGACCACCAGAATTCTGTAATAGTATTAAGGGTATGATTTGAAGAGCTTTTGCGATTGCTTGTATACCCCAAGTAGTTGAATCAGAGTATTTAGATGCGAGTCTGTCAAGATGGCAACTTAATTCAATTTCTGTTGCACCGCCGCCAGCAACAATACGAGGATCTAAAAATAAGCATCTTGCAACACACAAAGCATCGTGCAAGTTACGTTCAACTTCATTCAAGGTATCTTTTGATCCTCCACGTAAAATGACGCTACAAGCTTGTGGATCTTCACATTTAGTTAAAAATGTCCAATAGCTATCATCAATTTTTTTTACTTCAAATAGATGGCATTTGATGCCAAGACTAGCTTGTGTTATTTCTTCACATCTATTAATGATCTTTGCTCCTGTTATTTTTACAAGTCTATTTTGTTCAGTTTTTTTAGCCCTTCTTATTACAGTAACATTTGCTTTCATTAAATAGTGAGCAGCTAGATCACTGACACCTTTTTCAGTAATGACCAGATTAGCTCCTGATTTAATAATGAATTGAGTCATTTTCTTAATTTCCTTTTCTTCCTGTTCAAGAATTTTTTCAAAATCATCAGCATTAGATATCTCAATATTGGTCATTGATTCGCCTTTTTTATATTCGAGAGGGCAATCTAATAACAATATTTTTGGATCAACAATTTTTCGTGCCATTCTGCTATGCGTAACATCTTTTTCCATAACTAAACCATCTATTACTTGGCTGTCTTCTAATAAACCTCCTACAATTTTTTCAATTCTAATATAACGTTTAATGTCGATTTCCTTTTTAGTATTAGAAAGCTCTACAAGTATTAATTTACAAGCTCGCAGAGCTAATGTAGAAATTTTGTTTGACCATTGTTCAGAAAATTTCGTCTGTAAAGAAGCTTTCAAAATACTTAACATGACGTTAGAATCGTTCGTGTCTAATTTTGTAGCAATCGAATCTAAATAAGATAAAATTTCTGACAAAGCTAAATAATAGCCTTGAACAAGATAGGTAGGATGTATTTTTTCGACCAGATATTTTTTTGTTGAAGATAATATCGAACTTGCTAATAAAACAACTGATGTTGTACCATCACCGACTTCATCGTCCTGAGTACGACTAAGTTCAATCAAAGCTTTAGCAGCGGGATGAGTTACATCGATCTCTCTTAATATAGCATTTCCATCATTAGTAATAACTGTTCCACCCATCGGATCTAACATTAACTTTAGCATACTATTAGGTCCAAGAGTGGTTTTTATAATAGAAGATACAGCGTTTGCTGCATCAATACTATCAATTTGAGTTTGATTTCCATGCAAACGCTCAGCTTCGGGCGCTAATACAAATAAAGGCTGCTGATTACCGTACATATAAAAATAATATAAAATAATTTTAAAAAATACTATCATTATAATTATACAAAAAAATTAAAATTCCACTGCCGGGAATCGAACCCGGGTCGTATGGGTGAGAGCCATATATCCTGCCACTAGACTACAATGGATTAGATGCTTAGTTCTATTGTGTTCTGTAAAAACATATTGAAGCAGGGGAAAGGATTTGTTGGAATTATTATCAGCCTTCGTAGCATAGTGGCATTGCGCCTGTTTCGTAAACAGGAAGTCGTGAGTTCGATTCCCACCGGAGGCTTTAATATTTTATAGTGTATAAAATAAAAGAACCGCCTACGGGGATCGAACCCGTGACCACAGGATCAAAAGTCCTGCGCTCTACCACTGAGCTAAAGCGGCTTAAATTAATAAGCAATTTTAGATTTAGTGGATTTCTAATATATTTTATTGATTTTAATTTTAATATTTTGCTATCCACCTATTTCGTAAAATAAAAACAATATTATTAACAAACTATCTTTTAATGGTTAGTGTTATGTTATAGGTAGTCGCGAAACATAATTTATAACCGGAGGTAGCTCAGTTGGCAGAGCATCTGACTGTAGAGGATATCAGGTAGTCGGTGGTTCGATTCCGCCTCTCCGGATTTTTATTTATTTTGCGTTAATTTGGCTTGCGAATAAAACTTACATAAATATCAAGAATTTTATTTGATTAATTAATAATAAATAAATCACAAAACCTTTTAAATATATAATAAAATGGTGCCTACACCAGGAATCGAACCTGGATTTGAACGGCCACAACGTTCTGTCCTAGCCATTAGACGATGTAGGCCAAAAGCTAATACATAATATAAAACTGTGATATGATTTTCGTGTCGTTTTGAGCTAATATTGAATGATAATTATTGCCTTCGTAGCGCAACTGGCAGCGCGTGAGACTTCTAATCTCAAGGTTGCGGGTTCGAGTCCCGCCGGAGGTTTTTTTTTTAATTTTATTATTTTTTATGTATCAGTATTATTTAGTTAACGTTTTTCCAGATTATAGTAATTTAACACTAAGCAGACTTAAAGAAATTTTGGCGTTTAATGACTTAACGAAAGCTCAAAGAATTGAAGAGAATAAAAGTTGTATGAAGAATTTATTTTCAAATAGTTTTATTTCAAATAAAATATCGAGCAATAAATTATTACAACGCTGGCAAGATCAGTTAAAATATTAATATCTTGTATATTTGAACTATGCTTTGATCAAATAATGTACTTAAAAATACTATTATTAGAATTTTTTGTTTTTGCAAACATCACAAGTATTGTTCCACTCTTAATAAATAATGAACTAGTCTTGTTTGATTCTTCATGTAATAATTTAAAAAATTGTTTCAAACGATTTAATGATGATAACTTAGAAGAAGTTGAAATAACTCATTACAATAACCTTTACATTTTTGAAAATCCAATTGTTATACAAGTAAACAGTTCTGACATTATCATATTCAATTCAGTTTTCTCAAAGAATAATTATAATCCCGTGATTTATTACTATTCATTCGCTTTAAATAATTTATACACTATCGTAAATGCTGACATACACAAGAAAATAATAGATAAAAAAATTTTAGCTGTTTGTTCCAACAAGATTGTTTATTTAATAGCTAATTCAAAAAATACGATAATGATATTCAAAGTAACTTTTAATCGAAGAAAGGAGTTGACTTTATTCTTTTTTACATTTACAATCGATTTGTATTATGAATTTGAAAACAAAAATCTTGAAAATAAAATATTATATCTCGATTGTTCTAATGTTAACAAACTTAAACTATTTTTTCATTCTGGAGTAGTAGAAATTATAAGAACAAATGAAAAAATATATCACAAATATAACGATTTTGACTCGCAAGTTTTTTTGAGTAAATCAGCATCAACTACCAAATTATATGATGATTACTTTGTTTTAAATGATTGTGTTAACGAACATTTATCATGTCGTAAAACAGCATATAAAGTACGAAAAAATGAATTGATTAAAATGCCTAAAAACGTATATGAAATAATGGAAAAATATTTTCTTGTACCATATGATCTCGAAAATATGTACTTGATTGAAAAAAAAAATAATAATCATGCAGTTACTAAATCAACTAATAGTGCTCTAAAAATTTCAAATAACAAAAAATGCCACAATGGTACTATTGAGACTGACAGATGCGAATGTTCTGAAAATTATTTTGGAATAAATTGTAATAGATTGGATTTGTTTTTTTTTGATGAAAAAATTTGTTCAGGGAATGGGTATCAAAATTTAGAAAAAGAATGTGTTTGTAATTTTGGTTATTATGGAGAAGCTTGCTCATTCCAGAACAACAAATGTAAATGCAAATATGATGACGAAGGATTATATCACGGTATTTGTTCTAAAATTAATGCTTCTTGTTTTTGTGATTTTAATTATTCAGGAGAAAATTGTTTGAACAAACTTGAAATAAATAAAAAATGTTGCGACCATGGAATATATGATATTTCAGCTTTTGAATGCGTCTGCAAAGAAAACTATGTAGGACATAGTTGTGGACTCAACGTGGATGCCCTTAAACTTTTATTTGAGGAACTTTCTAAAAGCAATGAATTAAAACAAATACAAGATGAATATAGTACTGAATTTACAAAGTTACTGTTTTCAAATGATATAAATCAGATTATTAAATTATTTAAAATAAATAGTTGTTCAGTTATCGATTTAACCGATAGATTTCGTCATGTTTTGAAAAATCCTAAAATATCAAAAATATTCGAAATGATTGTAAAGACTTATGATAAGTATTCAGTCAACTCATTACCAGATCAAATCAATGATATTAAATTATTAAGAAAAATCAAGCAAACTAAAGCAACTCGACTTGTTGCAAACGAAGAGCATGAAAAAAAAACTCAAATTGAAAAAACAATTAAAACTACTAACGTAAAAGAACCAATCGACTCAAAAAAAATTAAAAAGTCCGAGGTTGATGATGCTCATAATAAACTAACATCAAATAAATATAAAAATATAATATACAAACTTAGTTATATAGTTTTACCAATTACTGTACTGTATCTGTTTATAATATTATAGTTTCTTTAGTTCTACTAATAATTGCTTTGCTGTTATTCTTTTATTTGGGTCGATTAGTAACATTTTTTTTACTAAGCGAACGAGTCTTTTCTCAATTAATTCACAAAATATTGCCCAAATATTGAGTGTTTTATTGTATTGATTTTGAATATCTGGCAAAAATAATTCTACTTTACAGGAATGGTCTAATTGAACTATTTTTATTAAATTTGATTGTTCAGTTGGATTGCTTGTGTTAAACAAAACCTCGCCTGTAACCAATTCCACAAACAAGCACGCTACAGACCATATGTCAGAAACGTTTACATATTTAAAATCGCCAATTAATACTTCTGGTGGATCGTAAAGATAATTATTATATTTATTTTCGATGTCTATCAATGGGTATTTGAGCGACAGGGCGAATTTAAAATTAATTAATTTTAGATTTTCTGCAGGATCTAAATAAACGCTATCTCGATTGATGTTTCTGTGCACTATTTTTTTTTCTTCCAAATAAGCTAATGCATCAATAATCTGATAAAAATATTTAAAAAAAACTTTAGATTTGGATTCGTACGTCATTTGATCAAAGTAGTTTTTGAGTGATATAGTTAGTGTTTCATGTGAAGTTTGTATTTGATTAGGTGTGATTTGTATATGTTGATAGCGGATTATATGTTTGTGGCTCGCGATCTTTGAGATAAGCAATTCTTTTATGCTCTGCTGTAATATAAGAGTATGATAAGGAAGTATAGAAATTAATTTTACGCTTTCATTCAAGTTATTATGTGAAAAATCGAATTCAGTTGCTGTAGTTTCGACATCTAACATTTATTAAAACAATTTAATCTCGAAGAAGAAGTTTTTTTTCAATTATTACGGTTTAGATTAATATGGAATTTAATGTAAAAAAAGAGTTTATTTTGAATGGATTAAAAAAAAAGGGAAAACAGAAAATTATTGACATGAAAAAAAATAACCTATGAACACCGTTATCGCTAGCAAAGAAGTAAATCATTTCAACATCAAGTTCGATCTGAGTGATATTTCTGGAATCGTTTCTAAAAAGCCGGAAAATATAGTATGTTTTGTACAATAACAAATTGTTTTAGATAATAAAAGTCGTTTTTATGGAGCTCGAATATGCATCGCCGGTATTTCGCAACGTTGTCGATTACGTAGGGTTGAACGCCCATCATTTATGGCCCGATGTAAAAATTAGTTTAAGTGACATTAAAATATCGAAAATATCATTTATTGTCGAAAAAGCGAATTTGTTTAAAGCCAACACAGTGTTAGGTGTGAGTTCAATACAAATAAGTAATGTCATATACGCAGATTCTAACACTATAGATCAAAGTATTTCTCTAATATCGCCTTTTACTGGCAATTTTTATGGAAAATTAAATTGTACGCTGTCAGTGACATCTACTATAAACGCAGTAGGTATTCATAAAAATTATGAGGGAAAAGAAATGATCCCAGATTTTACGTTCGAAAGCTGCATCATTAAACCTGACGCTGCGTTATCAGCAAATTATTCTCATATCTTAAGTTTGAAACTGCTTTCACTGGAGTTTTTTCAGTCTTTAACTGATGATCCATTGTTTATTATCGTCGAACTTGGTAGTGTTGAACTGAAATCAAAACATTTTTTGATTGCATCCATTGTAGATTTAAGACTAGAATTTCTTTTTCCTATTATGACGCCAATCTTGGCCGACTCAATTATTTTAAGAATTTATCAAGAGATTGGTTATTCTAAAAATTTATTGTGTGAAAGTATTTTCAGTTATGCAGAAGTTAAATCTAAAAAGATCGAAACAAAATGGTTCAACTATTATATTAACTGTCCAGAAGATTTAGAAAATCATGATTTGCTTATGTGTAGGTGCTTGATATCAATAATGGTATTTCCTAGACGAGTCAAAAACGATATCGAAGCACCTAAAATCAACCTGCTCAACCACAAAGGGTTGATGAATTGCAATCCAATCCACATTTTAATTGTATTATACGATTTGATAGTTATTGAACCGTCTATCAGTTACATTAGATTATCATGGTTATCTAATGTTAAGGTTATATCGCTATCGCAATTAAAAAAAATCAAAGATTATGGCTCGAGTGAATATACAAATAGATATTCTTTTTCGGATTATAAAGAAGCTGTATTATTTTTTACGGGGTTCGTATCTGCAACTTCAAATGACGTTCCTCCTTTTTTTTACATTGAGCTATTTTCGATAAAAAATAAACGGGTTGCTTATAGGAGGATATGTTTTGATAAAATCTCTGGTGATAATAATAATTTAGTTTCTACTGAACCAGAATATTTGTTGATAACAAATTATTACGGAGAATATGTGAGCAATATATTGATGTCGGTTAATAAATGTTCAGAGAATGTGCTGGAATATGAAAAAAAAAAACCGATTAGATACGATACATTTATTTTACACTTAAATATTTATTGTGCTCGAAATATACCATTTAGTTTGAAAGATCATTCAGTTCCCAAACTCAGTTTTGAAATTTTTTGTTCTCATACATACTCAAAAAATTTGTGTGAAAGACCGATTTCTCGATTTCCAGTTTATCTTCAACCTATTATTCTTGAGATTAAACTACCTATCAATGTTTCTTCTGGTAAAATATGTTTTTCAGTCATTGGTATTCGAATAAGAGATACGACAAACAACAATGTGTTGGGTTGGGTATTTGTTTCGTCAAATAATTTTATTGTTTCTTTGAATAAAGTCACTAAACTGAATCCCAAGTGGTATAGTATAATACCTAGTGAGAATTGTCTTTATAAGAATCCGCCTGGATCTAGTGACAAATTTGGAGCTTTATTAGTATCGTGCCAATATATGACTCAGGCTATAAAAGACAATCTTTTTTTTGACGACCTAATTCCAGATCTAATGCCATATAACTTAAACTTAGGGTTTGTTGTACTGCTATCTCTAAAAAAACTTCAAAATGAACATAGAACTTATTCATCTAGTCAATTGGAATTAGATATTCTAAATAATCAAAATCAAATTGAAAACCCTATTATTATCATGCGAATTCCAGAATATTCCCTTTCTACTTTCACTAATAAGACACTTTATGGATATAACCCTAAAAAAAAAAAAAAAAATTCAAACGAAATAGCCAAACTGGATAGTTTTTCTGATTATGATAATTCAGTGAAAAATTGTTTTTTGTTGACGGACACATTGAAAATTAGCCTTTATTTGCCTCGAGATCATATTTTTGATCCACATTTAGAGATAACTGTTTATGATAATGACGTCCGTGCAGATAATTTGATCGGAAGCACTAATCTGAAGTTAGCCCATATAATGCCGGGATATACAAACTATATTGAACAAAAACTTAAACCTATAGAAAGTCTAGATATTATTAATAATTTTTTTGGTTCTAAATATGTCCATCATGTATTTCAAAGCACTAATTCTGATGACTTTAACTTTAATCTGCGATTTGATGAAAATCGTTTGAGGAACAATTTAACATCAAGTTTGTCAAATGATAATATATTATTTGAAAATTTGGATGAAGCAAATAATAAAAATCTATTTTCAACTGAATTGAATGTGTTAGATGATGGAATCCCTTCTGAAATCAAAATGCAGCGGAAGCTGCTGTTTCAAATGGGAATTTTACAAAATCACGAAAACATAAGTACAGACGAACTTATGGATATTCGAATTCCAACTGATATGGTGTTTATAAAACAAGGAACGCAGAAAATTTATTCTAAAAATAGTACTTATTTTAAACAGTTAACGTTACTAGCTTCAGAAGTTAAAGATCAAATGCTCAATTCTCAAAATTGGCTGTTTACTCCTTTATATTCAGCTGTTAATAACGAAGAAGTTTTTTTTGTTAAAACAGGTGAATTATGTTTGCAAATCGCTAGTAAAGTTAGCAATGAAGTTTTATGTAGCAATGCGGCGCTTACAAAAAATACTACTTTATTTGACTCAACGTTATTCAACACCATCTTATCGCTTACACACATATACAAACAGATATTTGTTCGAGTAGTTATTTACAAATTACATGTTTTGAGTAAAAAGCTGAATTTTTTGTTTAACGAAACAATAAAACCATTTATTTGTATCATATCTCAAACAAAAGTTTTATCAACGTTTCATTGTGAAGGAAATGAAGAAATTACTTGTAACTTTAGTTCTGTATTTGATTTGAAGTTGCCTAAATCATCTATATTGTACATTTTGATTTATAATAATGAAGCTAAGTTGGAGAAATTTATAGGCCTTTGTATCATTAACTTACTTGAGCGTGTCATGAATACTAAAAATAATTTATCAGAGAGACTACCTATTCCGCCTATAGAGCTTCATTTTTTGCGTAAAATCGAAACCAGTTCAAAATATTTCGGTTCAGTGTCGTTGTCAGTTGAAGCTGCGTTAAAAGAAGATTTTTTCGCACCTCTTGAACTAAAAACTAATTCAAGTTTTAACAATGTCGAATTACGGGTTGTTGTCTGGTCATGTCACCAATTAGTGTACTTAGAATACGACAAAAAAACTGACTCGATATACGTCAATAGTAAATCATTAGACGTTTACGTAGAAAGTGAATTAGAATGCAAGTCAACTAGTAGTCCCAGAGTACAAACAACCGATGTCCATTATAATATAGAAAACGGTGAAGCTTTGTATAATTATCGTTTTGTATATCGAGATATTGAAGTGGTTAAAGGTACTACTTATGTTTTGCATTTGAAGGTATGGAAAAATTCCACATTGTCGGAATCAGTTTTATTGGGTGAAGTGGTTTTGAGTTTGACGGATCATATTAATTACACAAGTACAAAAAACCAACTTATAGAAAACGATTTAGAAGCAGAAATTTACAAATTTTTAAAAAAAACAGGTCAAATCTTCGTTAATATACAAATTTTACATTCTAACGAAGCAACAATGAATCCTGTAGGGTATGGCAGAAATGAACCTAATAAAAGTCCTGAACTCACAGCACCACAAGTTGGTCGAGGATGGAGTGATTTCCTGGGTATTGGTGAACGAATTTATCATTTCAACAAGCTCAGACACCGAATTAGGATAGCAATTTGTGTTGTTTCATTTATAAACGTTTTTATTTTAGGTTTTGTGTATCCCGGAGTTATGTTAACTTCGACTTGATAAAAAGAAAAAGTTTTTAAAGAATTACAGTGAAGTTTAAGTAGATTATAAAACAAAAAATGTTAAAAAAAATATACCGCTAAACAATATTTACAAGTTTAGCGGTAATTAGCCAACAAAATATGAAATTTAAACACGGGAGCCACGTCCTTTAGAAGCATCTTTTGCATTGGACAAAAATCTTCTGTTATATTGGATTCTCTTCTTGAATCGTCCAGTGGGTGCTTTTTTTGTTTCTTGTTTTGCGACTTTTGGAGTCTGTGCCTTTACTTTACCGGCACGTGCCAATGAACCGTGTACTTTACCTATAATAAAATTAAATCGTTCAAAACCCTATTTACTTACCCATGGTTTAAAATCTGTATCTTTTAAACTTTGAAATAATAGAAAATTAATTGTTGTTTTGTCCAATTAATCAGCAGTTTATCTGAAAAAATTTAACATTAAGAAAATAAATCTATTAGTAAAAAAGGCTACATCTTAACTTTATTTAGGACGTTAGAGACCATGGGGCTATAAATTGTAATTTTTTCGCTCAAGTTTAATTTGTCTGATAACTTTTTTGTTATTAAAAAATAGCAGTTTGGATGATTTTGCAGTAAAGAAGCGGGAACAGAGCTAGACTCTGCCTGATTGATTGCTTTATCTATAGCTTCTATCTTATCTAGAGTATTTGCGATTAATAATATTAATTTACTTTTTAAAATAATTTTAAACCCTATAGTCATAGCTCTAGTAGGTACTTCACTGGTACTGTTAAAAAAGCGTTTATTAGCTTCAATTGTAGAATGTGCAAGCTCCACAATTCTGCACTTGGAATCTTTCGTTATTGGAGGCTCGTTAAAAGCGATATGCCCATTTCGTCCGATACCGCCAATAAATAAATCAAAGTTACCTAATACTTCAATTTTCGATTCGTATCTCTTACATTCCTGGTTCAAATCATCAGCCAAATAATTCAAAAAGTTTTTATTCTCTTCTGGTAATGGCAAATTGTCCAGTAAATTCTTTTTTAAAAAATACTTGTAACTGTCTGTAAAGTTAGTGGCTCTCAAACAATACTCATCTAAAGCAAAAGTATGTACATTTTTCCAATCGATGTCAGTGTTTTTTCGTCCTAATTCACTAAGTTCTTTATATGCATCCAACACACTTCCACCTGTCGGTGTAGCGAGCACAAATGAACGATTTTTTTGATCGAATACTTTTTTTATATGCGCTATGACAAATTCAGCTACAAATTTACTTAATTCTTGTTTAGATTCAAAAATTAATACTTGCATGTAAATAAAAATAAAGACTACACTTATTAGCTTATAAGTAAGATAATTTTAAAGTGTGCTTTTAATTATTGTAGTTAGAATTAATGCAATATTTTATTTTTAAAGTTTTTGATTTTCAACTTTATATTAAAATTTGAGTCATCACTGGATGAACTGTTTAATTTATTATAGTCTGCTAGTATATTTTTTTGTTGCAATTTATTATACACTGCCATCACTTTAACATCCAGATTAGCTTCTATTTCCTCTTCTTTTTGATTTTTATACTTTTCTGCAATATGCCTGAAATAACTCTCGTTACACTTACGGGTTGATCACTTGCACTGTATCATGAAAATTAATTACATTGTATGGTGGTGTTAAAATATCTGAAACTGGCCTTAAAAAATTTGAACTAACAACATTATATGTTAAAATAAGATCAACTAATAAACTATAGTTCATATAACTGTGAATAATTTTAATTAGAATAAAAAAGTTGATCTATTTTTTTCAAGTACAAAAGATGAATCTTTCAGTTCTGCTTCACTCAGTACATTGTCAACTTCATTCGGAATAAAATTATTTGTGTTGTATTCGTTCAAACATTTATACCGCTTTTTAACCAATTCAATTACATGTTTGTCAATCTTAATGCTTATTTTAGCTTCTGGATCACGTAACGCATTGAGTGTTTCAATGTGTATATCTTGAAATTTTATACTCTTAATTTTACTAGTAAATACTGCTAAGTTTTCTTCATACTCTTCACATTCATTACATTTGTTTAATAAAAGCACGACTCTCATATCTGGATGTTGGACGACATCAAATAACCGCGTTAGTTCAGACAGACTAAGGTCAAACCGTTTAATATCAATAATATCTACGACCCAGTAAAGACATAAAACGTTGCTTATTGCCGTAATCCAGTTTTTTCTAAATTCGAATTGACCTCCAAGATCCCAAAGTTCAAGAGTCAAACTGAAATAAAATTAATTTAAAACATACACACCTTTTTGCACAACTTTCACATCAAATCCCAGAGTGGGGATTCCGGTATAAATCGTGTTATTTAAATACCTATATAGTATGGTAGATTTTCCAGCAGCATCCAAACCACTAAAATTATTTAAATATGCGTACATACACTAAAAGGACTTTTACGGTGATTTTCTTTGTTTCTAAACTTGACATTCTTACAAGTACTCTACCTAAGTAAGTAACTCAATAATATTTTTTTTCTATATTTATATATAATATTCAAATGCTAAGAAATACGTTTACAAGTATTCTTGACCGTGTTTTAAACAAGTTTTCAGACTATTTCGCTAAGGACGATTTTAACTTAGAGAGACTCAAAGAAGACAATCAGTCAACTGCGAAACTGTTTAATTTTGCACTTAAAATGACTAAAAACGAAGCGAAAGAAATACTTGACGTTCAAGAAGTCAGTGACAAAAAATTGCTCCTTAAACGACGAGATGATTTGATCAACCGGAACGAATTGATTGGTGATAATCTCGGTTCTAAGTATTTGCAAAAAAAAATTTATCAAGCTTGGAGACTGCTCAAATAAACTAATGTTCGTAGGAGCAAAAACCACACAAACAAAACCAGTAATTAAATGCTCTTAATTAACTACGAAAGCTTTAAATACAGAAAAAAAATGTACATCTGAAAAAATATCTAGGTTTTAACTATTCATGCAATCCAGCTTGCTTTGAATTTATGCCATAGATTTGCGTGCGCACCATGATGATATCACAGCTGTTCATAAAAACTAAGATAAATCCGGCTGCGCGGCAATTTTACGATCAGAACAAGAACAAGAAAACTAAGTTGTTTAGAGTTGCTGTTTACCTAGATGTTTCGAGAAACGAACAATGTGATTTGGCTGGTAAGCAAATAAAAAAATTTTCTGATGCTTACTCTGTGGATTCTACTGTGAATAATGAACTGTTAAATGCTGCGTTACTAAGTAATGACTCATACCAACTAAATTTAAAGGGTTTACAGCCGCATGTGCAGTCTTATTATAAGAGTTCAAAAAAAATACCTGCTAATAATATTAAAAAATTTTTAGACGAAAACAGTTTGCCACAAATAGATTTCTTGTATAAAAACAATGATGTAACTTTCCCGAAAGAGTTTTTTTTCAATACGGCTATTTCATCTAACAAATATGTTTGTGCGCTTCAAAAACACATTCAACAGGTCCCAGTCAATGAATTGAAACAGAATTTGTTTAATCTGGTTAAATACATAGATGACAAATTGCTTTCATATAAATTAAATAATGCGAAAAACTTACAACGTTACGCGTATTTTAACATCGCAACAAGGATCAAAGTGTATCCAAAGTACCTTAAAATGATTATCAAAAACCAAGAAAGGAGGCAGAAAAATAACCCTTTCTTGTCAAAAAAATCAGACCGCTGCTGGTGTAGCAACTACGATCAAATGTTTTACGTTCCAAGTGATTTTCCTCAATTGCAAACACCCAATCGTACGAAATGCACGCCTCACGCTTTGTTGAGTTTACTACGGTCACCCGTACAAAACTTAATATCAAATAAGCTGAAAAAAAAAATTCAAGAGGAACTTTGCATTTTAGCAATAGCGTGTATGAATTCTCCTAGCGACCCCGAACAATATATGAACTTTTTGATGCTTTTTTGTCGTATTCAAAAACTCATCAAAATTTCACCTATTCCTGTTTTAGAATTGGCTAAAATCATTTTTATGTCACATTTTGAAATTTATCAAAACTGTTCAGAAAAAATTACGCAAGCGACATATGAGTTGGTGTTATCAAAATTGAAAATTCTTAAAACAAAGCTTTAAATAGTCTTCATTTAATCTTGACTCCAATTATTTAGCAAATTCACTTGACACCTTGTTTTCCATATTTTAGTCCATTGTGGTGCAAAATGTTATCTTGAAAATTATGTGAACAATCTGATTCATAACTAAAGTCTTTAATTGAAATAATAAAATCTTTACATACAGCTTATGTCTCATTGTTTTGAAACAAACAATAAATATTATGGTATCAGTGATAACACTTTTAAATCTCGAAATGCAGACTCTAATAAAGCTTTGAGACAAGAAGTTTTTAGAAACTCTCTAGAGGACAACTGTCTTACCGATAACGCTTATTCTCTTTGTGAAAATCTGATCCCGCTAAACAATCATACAAATAATCAAAAAATAAAGCAGACGTCTGAAAATACATTTAACTATAAAAAAGAAGTGTGTTCAGGATTTAACAGCAACGAAAATAAAAAAAAAACGATTAACTTAAACGAGTTCACTCACCCTGAGTCATTCAATAAAATTATTGAGGAAACTTGTTCGCCTATACAAGAAACTGAGCCAAATCGAACTTCCGGAATTTCAGCTTGTCAGGTCTCAGACGCATCTAGTATGTTTAACGGTTGTTGTTCGTTGTTATCGAAACCTTATGGTCAATGCACATGCCTTTATTCACATTGCGACGCTAATCAGACACTTACTTGTTGTAGTTCGAATATTAATCAATGTCAACAAGTTTGCGATTGTGGACGATCATTATCCTGCAATTGCTCATTTCCATCGATATTACATACAAACAGACGATGTTTGCACGCTAGTAAATTGAATCACGACAACTTTTCACTCGAAGCAGCCATGAGGAAAGTCGTTTCAACGGGTAAATATGTTATATTGACTCAAAATATCATTGAAATTATGAAAAAAAAAATAGATAACGTCAAAGCAAAAACGGGAGATACTATTGCATTTCAGACGCACACTAAAAAATCCGTAGAGTTATTTAATCAAATGTATAACTCGATAAAAAAAATGTCTTCTGAAAAAATTACAAAACCCAGTATTTTGTACGATAATTCTATAGAACCGTCTACCACTGATGATTCAATTCAATATGTAAATAATAATAAAGAAGAATGTGTCGTTAAAAAGAAATGGTCTACTCATGACCATGATTCTTGTCAATCTAACCAGTATTCTCACAACCCTTATATTGCTTGTGAAAATCCTCAAAACTATTATGAAAAACCTATTAGTCGTTTGTCTCATGAAACCCTCCAATTCAAGCTGCCTCCAAAAAGTCAAAGAAAAGAAACAGTTGTAAATCATAATAGAGTTGTGCGTGACGCGGAACTTCCTACTACGTTTTTCCAACCGTTTTCACGAACGTCCTATTCAAGAAATAGGCCACCTAAAGTATATCCTATTGTACCTCAGCCAAGTAATGTGGATGAAGATGCGAAAATGGAAAATAACTCGTTTAGATCATCTGATAATTCATCTGAATTAGTCAGTGAAGGTAGTAGTTCGTCTCTTCTGGAATCTAACCTTCAATTTGATCCAAATGAAATTGACATTGCTGAAACTAAAAAACTTAAAGCGTTAATTGAAGCCAAACTTGCAGAAACCTATTCATGCATTAAAGAAATCATGCAAAGAAATAATGGTCAATTCCCTGGCTCGGTAAGTTTAAATAGCAGGAAATTGTGCTTAGAAAGAAGATGTTCTCTGTTTATTAAAACTCGATAAGAGGAAGCGAAAACTCAATGAAAAATTAAAATTGGTTACTGTATAGTTATTTAGACAGCATTTTAAATTAATCATCAATGTGGTTTGCTTTTGAGTATATTCGATCTATGCTTGTAATCAAATTATCAAAAGTTTTTTCGTATTTGCAATATTTATTATCTAGAGCATTCTTAAGGTTATCTAATTTTTTATTCAAGTTATCATTTATTTTTTTTAACTCTATTGTGCTTTTTTCGTATTCATCTATTATTACTTGATAATTCTCTTCAGAAGTCGAAATAAATGAACTGCTTGCAGGCCCATAAAAATAATTTTGCGAAGTTAAATCGAACAAGGAGATGGGTAAATGAACTGAAATCAGTGAAAAAGTAAAATTATAATTTCGCGATACATTGTTATTCAACAAAGTTGTGGCTTTTTCTATATATTGTTCCTGATGCTTGATTGGGTTGTTTTTC